TGCATCTAATATCTTTCTTCGTCAGCAAGTTTTTCCCCTTATAGGTGAAAATGACATGTACTTTTTTGGTACCAGGTCCACAGATATCCGGTCCTGTGATCAAGCAAATCAATATAGATACGTAAATTGCACTTAAAACCAGAATGAAAGATTAAACCTTCTCGCAAATTGTTTCTATGCAACGACTTTCTGCCGGAAAAATCCTTGCCAACAACTTACCGAACATGATGTGGTATGGAGTATCGCCATGGATGTTTTTCTGGTCTACTTTGCTATCATAAATCTAGAAAGTAAACACGAAATTTGAAAAATCATTATAACTGAACTGTACCCTCTACATCGTATCGTTCATACCACATTCAAGAACATATCACTGTTGGTTTCACCAAGTACAGCTACAAATGAGCAGACAAAATAATGTATGTTCTTAACAAAAACAATAAACTCAATAGAGGAATTAAAATTTACTTTAAATAAGTACCTTAACGTAACCACCGCCACAGTCGATGTTCTGTTCATGTTTAACTTGAAACTGGATCACTAAGGTCTTGCCTTCGTTTGAGAAACTTTCCTCAAACTTGGCCGAAATACCGTAAAATTTAGCATCTTGGCTGGTTTGAATACCTGTTAAAAAAATCAGATTTGTGTAATATAGTGTCTTGTTAACATAATCTAAGATTGCTGTCTACAGCGATTTGATAGAATTTCAATAAAGCAGCTTTGCAGCTGAACAACCCAAAAGAAGTCTGAAGTCGCGAGCACTGACTGCGACTGCAAGTGAGGGATGTGCAGATTTGTCGTCTACCTTTGTCTAAATCAGCATCGCCGTAGAATTTCCCAGCAGTCCAAGTAAATTTGCCAGCATCACTTCCTTTGTAGGTAGATTCTACCCATCTATCCTGATAACTCTGGTCTGATGGAAACACAAAATTTCAAAAAACTTTCAGAATCGTTAAAGGATATTTTGTTGGTAGAAACTACCTCCTGCACAAGTAACGTAAACAACGAGAACCCACCTTCAAATTTCTCTACAAAATGGATTTTTGGCTCCTCTGCTAATACGCACGAGAATAGGGCTAGAACGAGTAAACGACCGAGTGCCATAGTTTATAAAATCTAAATTACAGAAACACAACTTCAATGAATGCTTCGACTACCTTTACAATTGTGACAAGCGACCATGTGAATAAAAAGGATCTAGCCGGCCTTCTGCGTGGTGTGCTGTGATTGGTTGATACTTACCATGTGACACAGATCGTCCAACCAGAAAGCACCACACGTCTGGGCCTCCGTGACTGGTTTTAGCTTCCGTTCAGAAAATTACAATGGACTTGGGAACCGTGGAATTTGAAAGAGACGATAAATAAAAATTATTTGACAAGAAAAAATTTTTTGAAATCTTCATTATAATTTTCGTGCAAACACTAGAGCATTACACACAATGTCTTTATGAGAAATTCAGTAAAAATGTTATTGTTGACAAAGCATTCTAAGATCAAACCACTTTGAAAGTTTGTCACCCTGAACACAGGTGGATTTTTTTTTTTGCACATTTGCCTTTTTTCTGTTTTGCCTACGTGGAAGTAGGCGCCCTTTTGAATATTTCATACATGAACAAAGACTCTGACAATACTTTGACAAGTATCATGATCACGGGGATTACTAATGAGATGGACATGAATGTTTTCGAACCCAGACTTCTCTGCGCCTTCTAGTTCGAATGTGACAGTAAAACGTGTTCGTCTCTCAATGTTCTTGCAAATATTTTTGAGAAACAAACCTCATCAAAAATTCATTAATCTCTTCATGGGATGGTCTCATAGTAATACTGATACACTACAGCTAAGATGAGTTGGTGTAAATCGCGTCTTTTGTATAATTAGAAGCAACCATTTGCAAACGGTTTGCGGGTAACTGGGTTTGGGAGGAGGTTAGTTTAGTTTTTAGTTTCTTAGCTTCGCCGACCGGCAGGGACACCACAACAGCTTGCGCCAATTACTGCAGGCCCAGTAAACCCAACCATCCCACCCCAGGGGAGGACATCCAACAAACAGTAATCTCGTGCGTGGGAAAAATTACAGTCTTCTACCCCCAACTCTGCAGGAGACTGGATCTCCATTCATTCGTCCCTATCCGAGAAGACTAGAATATCTAACCATTTCTTGATGTTATAGAAAGGTCTCTACTCAGAGTGCTCAATGTCTTTGTGGCCGTCAACCTCATCCCTTCGCCTGCACTCAGGTCATTGACAAAGTGAACTATATATAAGCATTTTTCTTTATTTTTTTTCCCTTTCGATTATCTATACACCTTTCAGCTCGGGGTATCACGAAGCTTTGGGTATCACGAAGCTTTGGGTATGCTCTAAACTTGGCTTTGAGAAATTGAATTCAACCATGGCTCAAATTGTTATTGCTGTTGTCCCATTAACTCGTAAGTAACATTTCTCGTCCGCAGTCCACTTGCGTTCCAAGGACATTCTTAACGCTGATACTCGAG